AGTAGTTCAAGAGTTGGTAGTGGGTGGTGATGACTAGCTGCCTTCCCTCTAGTCTTACACTGCTAAATTAGGGACAGCTAGCACAGATAGCCCTCATGTAGCTTTGTGCAAAATTCAAAAACAAAACAAACAAACAAACTGCCTATGAGATTTGAATACCACTGGCCTTAAGATAAGCTTAATGTAAACTGCGCTGGTGCATGATGATGTTATCATGTGACATACGTTATCATGTAACATTCCACTAGTATTAGGGCAACACAATCTTGATGTGCAGTAACTACCCCTATGCACTTGCATTCATAATAACTTAATTCTTTTCCTTGGTACTACATTGAACAGATATGTTTAAATTTCTCTTGTAGTTCAATTGGGTGAGATTTGCATTTGTTAATGAAATTTTGATTCTCATTTTTGTCAGCTTTTATTTTAAAAGCTTTAATTTTTTATCATGAATTCTCAAATGATGGTGATGGTCACTCACACAGGTCCTATTTCTATTTTGGTTTTTTGAGGCTTGTTTATTATTGGGGATTTTGCAACCTTTATTAAATTTTTTGTGGATTACCACATGATATTGGTCATTCTACTCCTGTCAACCAACATTCTTTCTCCTCAGTCAGAAATGTCCTGTTGGACAAAAATTTCACCAGTTTTGCTTTCGGTAGTGCCTTACCATTCAAAGAATGACCTTAACCTTCCAACCTATTTCTGGATTTCATTCTTTTGTCTGTTCTTGGGGTTTATTTTGTCTTTCCTCTTTGCTTGTTATTATGGTCAGTGCTGTTTTCTTTCCCAAACAGCTCCTCTCACACACACACACACATGCCTCATTCCTTTCAAGTTTGGACTCTTTTCCTGACTTACAGATATTCTTCCTTTCCTTTCTAGATTTCCTGTCTTTGGTATCTGTATGGGGCTTTCTGTAAAATTCATTCCCTTCTCTTTGCCAGCTTAGCCTGTTCCACTTCTGCTCTGTCTTTCCTTACTTTGTTCCCCTGCTGATGGGACTCCATTGAGTCAAGTAACATTCCTCTTTTTTTTGTACACTTTCCTATTTCTTGTGTACATGGTCTTTGTCAAGCTCACTTTCTTTGCCTGGATGTCTTTGGTGGTGTTTTTTTTCTCACTGAAGACCTGGACTGAAGTTGTATGACTTCAATCCTCATTATCTTCCCAGGATTTTCTTCTTTCTTGACCTTGCCCTTTGACTCCTATTTCTTGTCTGGATCAATCTACCCGTAACCTTTTCATTTCAGATTCCAGGTCTTCTTTTTTTTTTCTCATCTTCCCACTACCTGTCATCTGGTTCATCACTCTTCTTATCAGTGACTATCCTGTCACGTCAGACCTTGTGGATACCTGTCTCATTCTTGTCTCCCGTAGTTGATCTAATTTTCTGTTTACAGTTGTTTTTTTCTCTCCCACTTCTCTTCACTCTTTTTCCCCTCCCTCTGACAATGTGTATAGTCTTTTGTATAGTCTGCAATTGGCCATGATCAGTGTGTCAGACACCTTCCTACACATCCCTACTGACCTATCATCCATGTGTTTCTTACATTCCATCTATCAGATTCATGTCTTCCAGTTTGCTCTTCCCTTTGACATAGCATTGTCTCCTTTTGAATTCACTTAAATTGTGAAGGCATTCAGCCTTCACCAGTCATTTTCACATTCTGGGGATGTTATTCCTTTTCTTGGACAGTTGACTTCTACTGGCCCATTTTCATGTGGTATCCATTTCTCACACCACCCTTCCTTTACAGAAATCTATTTGGCTGGGGTGTCTGGTCGAGACATCCAAGTTCTTTCTGACACCCACTCATTGCACTGTATGTTGATGATAATAGCTAGAGATAGTGATGTAGTAGAAAAAATGAAAAATAAAATATAAGCATTTACCTTAAAAACTTTTGATATTCATTTAGGAGGTTCTAGACATTGTACAAATGAAATATGAAAACTATAAAATAATAAATAATATTCTTATACTCAAAATAAAAATATCCTTGCATATGAACTGATCAGAGTGCAAATAACTCCATTAAATAACACATTTGTTATTAAAACAGTATAAAAAATATATTTTATTTATCTGAAACTACATGCTTTTAGAAAAGTTCATATCAAATTTCAGCTGTTTCACCCCCCAAACACATATTGGTGGTTGGTTGGATGGTCATAATCTGATTCTGCTCAGACATGCAATATGTCAGGCTCCTTTACCTTTCCCTCCCTTTCATTACTTGTGCTAGAAACAAGATGCAGTCTCCCATGGGTGTCACACTTCATAGTCTTCCCTTCAAGCATTTTATGAAGGAAGCTCACACAGTTAAGTTGTTGCACCAGCCTCTCCATACCTTAAACATTGGATTCCTTCATTTTTGTGCATAGAGATGAGTTATCTGCTTGGAAGCTAACATTTTCCATATCTGAAAATGTACTTTCAATAGATACTCACCTCCCCACACATCCCAACCCAACCTCCCCACTTCCAATACACCTTGTATTTCCTTACTTCGTCTAAGAATAAAGTTATCACAAGTGCAAGTGCATAGGGGGAATTACTGTGCATGGAGGTTGTGTTGCCCTCCTATTGGTGGAGTGCCATTTTTGCATGATGTCATCATGCACTAATACAGTTCACGTTAAACACGTGAATTTAGTGGGAGTAGTTCAAGGCTGTGACATGCGACTCTCATAGTTAGACGTGAAAGGGAAATTGCATTTCTGTGTGTGGAAGTATCTATCTGAAATGTATTTTAAGATTAGAAAATGGTTAACTTCAAGAAGTATATCACAATGGTGATTTTCAAAAGGGTGCTGTAAGTGGTTATTTATATTTGTAGGTAGCTGATAATTAACCTGTCTAGTTTCTCAAGTTTCAAAATATGGTATTATTATCATTACACTGTTTGTTACAGTAGTGAAATTTTCTGGTGTTAGCAATACTTTTATAAACACCAGTTACAATTTGTTCTAATACAGGCTTCAGGATGTTCCATGTGGATCACATGTTGTTGTGAGTAGTCAGGCAAGCAAAGATGGACATCTGTTGACTGCACCAACTCAGAGAATGTGGATTATGGCAGATATTAGACCTGATGATAGGTAAAAAATGACAAAAATGAACATCTGTTGACCAGAATATGTAGATTAGAGAGTGCATCAAGCATAGTGTTAAGAATAGGCAACTGCCTAAAACACAAAATACTTGGGGAGGCTCCATTGTGATTAAGGGTGTAGCCATAATGTCTGCTTGGGGCACCAGTTACCTCTTTCAGCACAGGCTCAGTCCCTGTGACCGACCTTGTGACTATTTTGTGCTTGTTATAGTTTTCATGCTATAACTTATTAATTATTAAGCGGATGTTAACGAAATTTGGCAGATTATCAGTAAACATTACAATGCTTTCATACGCAAAATATCTCATTTTTTTTATTAAGGTTTGTAAAGTAATGTTTTTCTTATGCCTTTTTTTTTCTTTTTGCATGTTGCCTATCCAACATGCAAAGTAATTTTCATTTTAAGATTAAAAACACTTTTATGCATCAGTAAATTTTCAAGTTTCACATGCGAAAGCTTTATAATGTCCAGATAGTTATCAAATGTTTCCAATAGAAATAACTTTATATTTTATCTGTTATTTTCAGTAATGAATCTCTGTACGGGTTCGGTAGATTTGACCACTCTCGTAACCACCATAAAAAAATTTGGAAATAAATATAAATTATGCATCTTGCATTCTAGAATTAATACAAATTATAACACAAAAACATAAATGATTAGAATATATAGCTTAAATCTCATAACATTATACATTTATATATATTTATTATTTTTATTATATTGATCTTTCAGCCATGCCTGGCTAATAATACAGAAGTTACAATGACACAGTGCACTTATGTTACCATATCCAATAACATAAAACTGACCTTTGGTCTTTACAAAGTAAACTGTCTTAGCTGTGTTTTATAGTACTTTATAAAATACAGTCACATTTCAATTATTATACATTATATATGTATATAGATTATTGCTATTTTGAAATAAGCTCTGAAACTTA